TTCTATAACCCCCTTTCGAACTTCCCTCTAGTTCCCCCTTTCGAACAAACAAAAGAAAAAGTCCTGACACCAACGGATTTGGATTTCGAACATCAATTGCCCACCCAACCTCGGGGGGGTGGGAGGAGAGCTGAGGACAGAAGGAAGGGACTTCCCCGACAGAGGCCCACCCTGCTGGGCCTCGGTGGCCAAGGGCCCCGCTGGACATCAGCGCGGAGTCCGCGGCGGGGAACCCAAAGACACCCCGTTCCCGGCTCGGGTCCCAGCAGCGGTGGGTGCTAGCTGGGAGCTGGGGGGAGGGGAGGGGTGGGCGCGACCGCGGAGAGGGGCGACAGGTCCCTCGGATCTTCCGGGATGCCGGGCACAGGGCGGGGAAGGACACGTTCCCGGGGGCCCGAAAGAAGCACCCGGTTCCTCAAGCCCCCGGGAGTGGGGTTCCCCTGGCCCTCGTACCAGGCCGTCCCTCAGGGAGAGCGGCCGAGCGAGGCCGAACCCCGGGAGCGCGACCTGACATGGATCTTACCATGGTGAGGGCGGTGGTGGGGCGCACCCGCGCTCCGGCTCCACTGGGGCAAGGGGTAGGGCCAGGGGAAGGGGAGCACCGGCCGCTCCGGACCTGCCGCCCCCCTGACAGGAGCCGCCGCCGCTTCGCCTCTTGCCAAGATGGCGGCCTCGAGCCACGTCTCCAACCGGAAACGGGGAGGGTCAAAGGGCGGAGGGCGGGGCGCCGGGGTGGGGACACGGCGGGTACCCGGCTGCTGCGCCGCCAGCCGGGTGGGAGATGTGTGGGGGCTCCCCCTCGCCCGGGCGCTTGGCCCTCTTCTTGTTCCCTGTTTGTCAGCACCTGCATTTAATCTGCGACACCCCTCACAGTTTGTGAAACCATAACCACAGCCCCGCTAGCATGCGGGCCACAAAAACCCCAGAGTACACCGGGACTAGTATCCAGAATATATAAAGAACTCTCATAAATCGCCACTAAAAAGACACTCCAGTTTTGAAAATGGACAAAATAGTTATTTCTCCAAAGGAGATATGCAAATAACCAGTAAGTGCGTAAAAAGACGCTCAGCATCCTTAGTCCTTAGAGACATGGAAGTGAAGACCTTGATGAGCTACAACTGCATACTCAGTAGAAGGGCTCTAAGTGCTGGTGAAAATGTGGGAAAATTTGAACCTTCATACACTGCTGGTGGGAATGTAAAATATTTCAGTTGCTTTGGAAAAATTCCCTTAAAAGGTTAGATATAGAGTAACCAACCATATGACCCAGCAATTCCACTGAGAGGTAGGTACCCAAGAGAATTAAAGGCGTAAGTCCACACAAAAATGAGTACTCTGATACTCACAGAAGCACTATTCATAATAGCCCCAAAGGGGAAACATTCCAAATGTCTGTCTATAGATGAATGGATAACAAAAATGTGTATCTATGAAATGGAATATTAATCATAAAAAGGAATAAAATACTGGACCTACCTGGTGGCGCAGAGGTTGAGCGCTGGGTTGCGAAGCTGTCCGCAGCCTCTGTAGCGATGGTTCGATCCCTGGCCGCCAGGCGAGGGTCCCATGTGGAGCACAGACCTCTCCTGCCGCCCGCTGCTCCCCTCAGCAGTGTACCTCATCAGTCTGCCTGCTCTGTTCTCCTCTCGGGCTCTGGTGAATTCTCTCACCCTCCTGCGCATCTAACTGTACCCAGTGCTTGTATAAATAAATAAATAAATCTTAAAAAAAAAAGGAATAAAATACTAATACATGCTTCAACATGGATGAACCTTAAAATATGTTAAGTGAAAAATGATAGAAAATCGCAGCTATATGATTCCATTTATATGAAATGTCCAGAATAGACAAATTCATAAAGACAGAAAGCTGGGCTGCAAACGACTGAGGAGTGAGGTTTGTGTTTTGTAAAGATGAAAATGTTCTGGAATTAGAGGTGGTGGTCGTACAACTTTGTCAATAGCCTAAAAAATACTGAATTGTACACTTTAAAATGGTGAATGTTTATGGTTTGTAAATTGTGTGTGTGTGTGTGCAAAGTGTGCAAGAAACAGGGACCTCCTTGGTGGCACAAGGGGTTAAGTCTCAGCACTATGAAGCTATCCGCAGCCACTGCAGCACCAGTTTGATCAGCCTGCCAGGGAGGTGACCCACATGGCACAGCAGATTTCTCCTGTCTTGCCTGCTGCTCCCTTCAGGAGTGTATTTCGGTAGATCCACCTCTTCTGTTCCCCACTGTCTCTGGTGAATCCTCTCACCTCCCCTCAACTCTGCTTTACACCCCAGCTCTTGTATGCATAAATAAATTAATTTAAAAAAAAAAGAACTCCCATGCCAAATGACTTCTCCGAATATGCATGATTCAGTGCTTTTTTCCTACCTAATGTTATCCCTGGCTCAACTCTCCAGCATCCAACCATTCTGCAATAAGGGAAAAATTGTCATCTTTTTTTGAGTTTTTATTTTGTATCAAATGCTTTACATGCTATCTCTAAATCTTTACAGTCCAGATAAGAACATGGAGGATCAAAGAAGTCAAGCCTTTGTCCACTCACACAACCATTAAATGATAGATTAAAATCAGGATTCAAATCCAGATTTTCTTATTATGATACAATGCCTCTCGTTATCTCCTGTGTATTGCTTAATGTTTACTGAATACTGACAATGTACCAGGCATTACTCTAAAGTCTTCATATAGATTATCTCATTTAATCCTTGCAATAATTTTTTGATACAGGTACGATAATGTCTCCATTTTATAGATGGAGGAAATAAGGTAAGAGAGGAAAACCTTATACCACAAGCCTCAGAGCTAGAAATTAGCAAAGCCATCATTCACAGGATACTCAACTTCAGAACTATATCATTAAGCACTGCATTATAGAATTCTCAGTCTTACCCATATCAACGCCATATCCAATGACTTTCTCATAGAATCTTTACAAAGCTCTCATATTTTCAAACTTTGTATGTCTACAAGAATAGTGTCAAACTGTATTATTCATTTTTTTGTTACAAAAAGCAGGAACATTTTTTTTAATATAAGAAAAATGAAAATCCTGCTTGGAATTATCACTTCAGTGTGACAACTTTCAGAGGTCTTTAACATGAACCACTGAAATCTGCAAAGATTTACTGAAGCTGATTCTTTGGAAATACGACACTAGCTGAATTAAACTGCAGAATAAAAGCATCACTCCAAGCATGCTTCATGAGGAGTGCCTAAGAAGTATTATGTCATAATGGTTGAAAGCAGAGACTTGGGAATTAGACTGACCTGTGTTTGACGCCCATTTTCAGCATTTACTAGCTGAGTGAGTTTAAGGAAGTTACTTTAACTCTCTAAGCCTCAATTCTAATCTGTAAATCAAGGGTAACATCCTAAAGTTGTGATTTTAGATACCATATTACTGAGATTATATAATCGAAGTGCTTCTATATAGAAGGTGCTCAACAATATATATCCATTATTATTAGCAATAAGATGAAAACTTTTTTTGCAGTTCCATTTGTAACCAGAAGATATGTCTCTCATTTTCCTTTTTAAAAACTCTTTCCAGCCTTCCCGTGGTAAGTTTTCAGTCAAATTTCCAATATTTCCCTCTGTCTCTTCCAAAGTTCATTGTTTATATTTCCTTATGTTCCTTATATCTTCATTCCTTCCACCAATGAGCAAGTTTAACGCATTTTATGTATGCAGTGTTATGAAGAGTTTAAATCTTAAGACACAAACCATACCCTAAAGAAGCTCTCAGTTTTCGTTCTTTCTTTTTTTTTTAAAAAAAGATTTATTTATTTATGCGTACAAGAGCTGGGGTACAGGCCAGAGGTGTGGGGGGTGAGAGGATTCACCAGAGACAGAGTGGAGAACAGAACAGGCAGATTGACCAACACACACTGAGGGAAGCAGCGGGGTAGTCAGGAGAGGTCTGCTGCGCCACGTTGGTTGCTCCCTGGCCGGCCAGGGATCAAACTTGTGCTGCAGAAGCTGTGGATTGCTTTATAGGTTGCATCTTAACCCCTTGCGCCACCAGGGAGGCCCTCTCAGTTTTCTTTAGCAAATAAAACTAGACAAAACAGGGCCTCCCTGGTGGTGCAAGGGGTTAAGACGCAATCTATGAAGCAATCCACAGCTAGGGCAGCATGAGTTCGATCCCCAGCCAGGGAGATACCCACATTGGCGCAACAGACCTCTGACTCACCAGTTGCTCCAAGGCAGTGTATTTCAGTCAGCCTGCCTGTTCTGTTCCCCACTCTGTCTCTGGTGAATCCTCTCACCTCCCCCACACCTCTGGCCTGTACCCCAGTTCTTGTATGCATAAATAAATAAATCTTTTAAAAAAAACCTAGACAAAATGGGGTTAAATTTCAATCTCAGATAATGAATAATTTGCTCTGTGTAACGTATAACTGTGTCCCAGGCAAAACAAACAAAAACACTATGTCCCAAGCTATGGGACACCCTGGAGGGGAAAGAATATATTGTTATATAAAAACTATAAAGGGAAGAGTGTGTGTGTGTGTGGTGTGTGTGGTGTGTGCGTGATGTGTGTGGTGTGGGGGCTGTGTGGTGTGTGTGGTGTGTGCGTGGTGTGTGTGGTGTATGGGCTGTGTGTGTGTGGTGTGTGTGTGGCGTGTGTGTGGTGGGGCGTGTGTGTGTGTGTGTGGGTTGTGGGGGCTGTGTTGGGTGTGTATGTGTGGCGTGTGTGGGGTGTGAGGCGTGGGGTGTGTGTGTGTGTGTGTGTGTGTACACGCACGCCGCGTCTCCAGCTTGGAGGGCTACGCACATAAACGCTATTCTTCATCCCGCTTTGCCATCGGCGGCCGCCAGATGTCGCCACAGACGTGTTTACTGGAACCATAGACAACCGGGCAACGCGCTCGCCCAGAGCGGTGCTCCCGAGCCCTCCAGCTTCCCCGGGATCCTTCCCGGGACGCGACGTAACGCGGGCGCCGGTGGCGGAGGTCTCACGAGAGCGAGAGCAAGTCTCGCGATTTTTCTACTTGCTTATTTCTTGCCTAGCGACGGCCCGGCGGCCGGTTGCTCCCAACAGAACTCCCCAGGGGCCCGAGCTGACATCGGAGTGAGACCCCAGCCCTCGGCCGGGGTTCTTTCCATCCAGAGGAGACGGATTCAGAGGGGCTGCAGGTAATTCGCACTCGCTGGCGGGAAGAGAACGCCTGATCTCCCTCCCAAGAGGAATTTAAGCGTAGTCCCCGCCTCCCGCGGCTCTCCCATCTCTTCCCCTCGCCCTGACAGCCATTCCCTCTCCCTCGCCCTCGCCCTCAGCCACCACCCGCCGTTCCGCTTCCTTCAGTCTCCAGAAAACAAAGTGGGGCCCAACAGGCAGTACCAGGATTGAAGAAGGGGGTGATTTCGGAATCATTGATGGGACCGAGAGACTGTAGTCTCCCCTCTCTTCACAGACACTCTCCCTACCCCAAGTGACCCCAGACACAGACAACTCTTTCTAGAATCTCTGCAGTCTCCCTTGAGAAATCTCCGCTAGCCTTTGGGAAACTGGCAGAGGAGAGCCACCTTCTCTAGCTGAATACTGTTCTCCCCTTGAGCCTGTGTCTTTCAGCTTTTGGGAGCTGCTGCAGAAGTTCGCTGTCCTACTTTCCCCCTTCCCTCCTTCTCTCCCCCCACACCCACACCTACACCCCCCTCCCAGTTCCCCTCACGATTCCCCAGTTCCTCAGTCGGCCTGCCAGCAGTTTTTAATAAGGGCTACAGCAGAATGATTTAATTGCTTGACCTGGGACCAAGATCTTGAAGAAAGTTCGAATGGGGGTTGGAGCAGGGTGAAGTTTTCATGTAAAACTGCTCTCTGGGGTAAGGAAGAGGAGCTGGTTTGGAGTCTCACATCGTTCCACTTAATGAACTTAATGACCCATAATATGAGCTATACAATCATGTCTTCTTTTGCTTAGACCAAGGTTGTTGAAAACCAAACATATGATGAGCGTCTAGAGATTAACGACTCGGAAGAGGTTGCAAGTATTTATACTCCAACCCCAGGACACAAAGGTAAGAGAGGAAAGAAGAGAAATGATTCCCAGAACAAAGAGCAGGGTACATTCATGATGGTCTCCAAGAAGTTTTTATAATAGCAAATGCTTACTTTCAAAATAAAGTTACTTCGCTTGCCATTATTTCTGTTCCTAATTAGTTGGGGGTGGGAAATGCAGCCTCTCAGATTGCAGGATCTCTCTCCTGTTCCCTGTCACCATTTACTTCATGATTCTGCTTTCCTTGCAGTCTGCCAAAGGTTTGTGATTTTTGTTAACTTATCAAAACTGTTTTGCTCAGTTTTGGAGAGGCTTCAATAACCTGCCCTTATCCGGCAATACCAATCAAAATTTCAGTGAAATATTTTTAGAGGATCTGATATCATTCAGCAAACATTTTTGGAATGCCTACAAAGTGTCAGCCTTATGCTTGGCACTAGGTGTACAGTATTAAATGAGACAGCGGTCTTGCCATCCTGGTGCTTATAAACATGGGAGACAGAAGACAAATGAATAAACAAACATAATTACAAATATGGTAAAAATTTGGAGGCAAAAAATTTGATGTTATGGAGAATAGTAGTGAGGAGTGGGATCTACTTTTTTTTTATTATTTATTTGTTTGTTTTGTTTATACATGCACTGGGTACAGTCAGAAGCACGGGAGGGTGAGAGAATTCACCAGAGCCAGAGTGAGGAGCAGAGCAGGCAGAAGGACCGAAGTACACTAATGAGGGGAGCAGCAGAGGTCTGCGAGCCATGTGGGACCCTCCTCCGGTGGCCGGGGAGCAGCCGGGGATCTAACTGAAGCTGCAGAGGCCGCGGGCAGCTTCGCAACCCAGCGCTCAACCGCTGCGCCACCGGGGAGGCCCGGGATCTACTTTTTTTAGGTGGTCAGGGAAGACCTAAGGAGATGATATTTGAGTCTGAAAGATGAGAAGAATCCAGACATTGGGGAAAAGTAGTCCAGAAAGAGAGAAGAGCAAGTGAAAAGTGAAAGGCCCTGATACCAGAAAGAACTTCAGTTAATTTGAGTACTCAAAAGGAATCAGCATATTGGGGTGGGGGAGTGAGGATGGAGGTGGGAATAAGTATTAGAAGTAGATTGGTAGGAGGTAGGCAGAGGCCATGTTGCTATTATGTGTGGAATGGATTAAAAGGTACAAAGATGAAAGGAGGGAACCGTTTAGAAGGACTGTTGGAATGACTGAGTTAAGGTGCTAGGAGCTTGTATGTCATGAGGAACTTAAGAGGCAGATACAAGATAAATTGTAATGGAATCCCTAAGACATATTGATGGATTGGATATGACTCTAGAGTTAGAAATCAAGGGTGAGGGGCCTCCCTGCTGGTGCAGGGGTTAAGTCTCAGCACTGTGAAGCTAACCACAGCCACTGCAGCACAAGTTGGAGTTCAATCTCCGTTAGGGAGGTGACCCACATGGCACAGCGACCTCTCCTATCTTGTCTGCTGCTCCCCTCAGCATTGTATTTCAGTAAATCCACCTGCTCTGCTCCCCATTCTGTCTCTGGTGAATCCTCTCACCCCCTGCACCACTGGCCTGTACCCCAGTTCTTATATGTATAAATAAATCTTTAAAAAAAAGAAATCAAGGGTGATATCTAGGGTTGTCTATATGTTTATTTGGTAAATATATCTAATAAAATTTACTGTTTTAGCTGTTTTAACAGTATAATTCAGTGGCATTGTGTACTTTCCTATTATTGTATAACTATTTCTACTGTTTCCATAACTTCATCATCCAAAACAAAAACTGTACCCCTTAAATAATAACTCCCCATCCTCTACCACTCCCCCTAACTTCATTTTACTTTCTTTTGATAAATTTGACTAATTTAGGTATTGCATATATGGAGTCACACATATTTATCCTTTTGTTATTCAGTTAGCATAATGTTTTCAAGGTGCATCTATGTTGTAGCATATGTTAGAATTTTCTTTCTTTTTTTTTTGTGTGGGACCCTCGCCGGCAGCCGGGGAACGAACTAGCGCTGCAGAGGCTGCGGGCAGCCTCGCAGCCCAGCCCAGCGCTCAACCGCTGCGCCACCAGGGGAGGTCCTGGAATTTTCTTTTTATGACTGAATAATATTCCATTGTCTGTATATACCACACTTTATCAGTTTCTATGTTGATGGACACCTGAGTTGTTTCTTCCTTTTAGCTATTATAAATATATAGCTATGAACTTTGATGTACAAAGTAACTTTGATGTTCAAATAACTTGTGGAGTCCCTGCTTTCAGCTTTTTTTGGGGGGGGCGTGGGGGTGGGGAGAGAGAGGCGCACGCTCCACATGCACCATAGGTTTTTTGACTTGAGTTTGTTAATAATCTTGCCAACTGTGGACATAATTTGTGTTCAGTTTAGGCAGTTTAGGAAGCTGAAGAATAGTGTTTAATTGGCATTTATTTGATTTTATTAACATATTTTCATGCTTGTTAGTATCTTACATCTGGTTATACTTTCAATTATTCAAAATATTTGTATTGCCCTTAAGGGCACTGACTCAGTTCATATTTATGACTATTATTTGCCAAGAGCTAGGTCAGTTCCTTCCACATAAGTCTTTTTCATTTCTTTTTTTTTCAAAGATTTATTTTTATTTATGCATAGGAGAACTTGGATGTAGGCTAGAGATGGCAGGGGTAGGGAGGTGGGGTGAGAGGATTCACCAGAGACAGAGTAGGGAGCAGAAAAGGCAGATCTACTGAAATACACTACTGAGGGGAGCAGCAGGGGAGACAGGAGTGGTCTGCTGCGCCATGTGGGTCAGCTTCCTGGCCTGGGACCGAACTTGTGATGCGGTGGCTGCCTATAGCTTTATAATGCTACACCCAACCCTGTCCACCACCAGAGAGGCCCTAATTGTTATAACAATTTTGAGTGAGAAATATTATAGACCCCATTTAGAGGTATGGGATGCTGAGACTCAGGTTGACTAATTTTGTCCAGGTGATAGAATTCAAACCCAGTCTTCTGACTATAAAATCAGCATCCTTTTCACTTTACTAATTACTAACCACATTTTGCTAATGTGTAGACTAAGGGCAGAGTTTGTATTATTTATGGAATAGCATAATGTAATGCTTAACCCAGTGCCTTAAGCATAGTGATGCTTAGTAATACGTTTTGAATGGTCAGTGTCATGACTAGAATTCATTTCTTGTACCTTAGCTAGATTCTCTTCTTCTTCTTCTTTTTTTTTTTTTTAAGATTTATTTATTCATGCATACAAGAACCAGGGTACAGGCCAGATGTGTGGGAGAGTGAGAGGATTCACCAGAGACAGAGCGGGTAGCAGAACAGGCAGACTGACTGAAATACACTGCTGAGGGGTGCAGCAGGCCAAACAGGAGAGGTCTGCTGCACCCTGTGGGTATCTCTGCGGCAGGCTGGGATCAAACCTGCGCTGCAGAAGCTATGGACAGCTTCGCAGTGCTTCACTCAACTGCCTATGCCACCAGGGAGGCCTGATATTCTTCTTTTTTTAATTTAATTTAATTCAGTTTATTTATGCATATAAGAACTGGGGTGTAGGCCAGAGGTGCAGGGGCAGGGTGAGAGGATTCACCAGAGACAGAGTGGGGAGCAGAACAGGCAGACTGACTGAAATACACTGCTGAGGGGAGCAGCTGGTGAGACAGGAGAGGTCTGCTGCACCATATCGGTTAGCTACCTGCTTGGGATCAAACTCGTGCCACAGTGGTGGTGATAGTTTGAGAGCACTGAGACTTTAACCCCTGCGCCACCAAGTAGGCCCAGCTAGATATTCTTTGAAGCCCTGTTCCATAAAGTACTAAAAGCATGAAATATTATAAAACTAAAATATTTGTATTTAAAAATCATTTTAATAATAACCTAAAGGGAAAAATTTTCCTCTAAGGACCTCCTCGGTCTGCCCATCTGCTTAACAAGACTATGGCAGATAACAGCAGTGATGAGTATGAAGAAGAAAATAAGGTACAGTATAATGTGAAATTTCTGCTTTGAGTTTTTAGTAGTTAGTTTGAGATGACACCAGTTGAGCAATAAACACTTCTTGCATACTCCCCTCCAGTGGTTGGGTACCTTTGAGTTCATGGAGGAAAATCAAGAGCAAAGCACCTTAAGATTTTAATTCTCCCTAAGAAATAAAGCTTAGTATTATATCTAACTTTTTGGTGAAGAATTTCACATAATGTAGGCCAGTATTTTGCAGACTTTACTGATCATATGAATCACTGGGGTATTTATTTTTAAGAGTACAGATTCCCAGTCCCCAGTAAGAACTATTGAATCAGAATTGTGAAGGTAAAAAGCTGAGAACCTCTTTTTAGCAAACACTCCAGGTAATTCTTACAGTAAATTTTTGGAATTATTGACATTAGCATTTTGTTCATTGTTAACACTTGTGATACTGCCAATATTTTATGAATGAGACTTTGATTTTAAAATCTTATGGCCCAGAAGTCACTATGTTATTGTATAAACCTAGAGAATCACTGTTTCTAAAAGAAAGTTGGAAAGATGCCTACCGCACTGGTCAGACGTGTCCTTACAGCTGCAGTGCACTCTGCTTAACAGCCATTGTATTTAACCTTTACACATGATCCACTGGTCACATTTTAATTGTTCTTCAAGAACAGGGGCTTTGAAAACTCTGGTGAAGAAGAATATCTGAATTAATGCAGAAAGCTCTAGTGTCATATAAATTGGTTTTCATAGCAGGCCTAGGTAGTCCTTCTTTGTGATGAGTGCACTGTTATAACATCTTACTCACAAAGTAATTTTTAATAGCATTTTTCTGTGGTATTTAAAGTCCTTTTTTTAATTTAATTTTTAATTTTTTAAAGATTTATTTATTTATTTTTTATACAAGAGCTGGGGTACAGGCCAGAGGCGCGGGAGGGTGAGAGGATTCACCAGAGACGGAGCAGGGAGCAGAACAGACAGACCACCAAAATACACTGCTGAGAGGAGCAGCAGGCGCAACAGGAGAGGTCTGCCACACCATGTGGGACTCTCCCTGGCCAGCTGGGAGTCGAACCGGCGCTGCAAAGGCTGCAGACAGCTTCACAGCACCTGCGCTCAACCCCCTGCGCCATCGGGGAGGCCCAAGTCCTTTGTTTTAGATCAAGGATTTTGCAAGTACAGCTTTTAAGAGGCAGACAAAAGAAAAGTGAACAATTTTCCTAAATTGACCTCCTAATTTTTTATAGTCACCCTAAGTTTTTAATTTGTGTTAAAAAGATTTATTTATACATAGAAGAACCGGGGTGTAGGCCAGAGGTGCAGAGGGTGGGAGGAGTCACCAGAGACAGCAGGGAGCAGAACAGGAGGATCTACTGAAATACACTGTTGAGGGGAGCAGTGGGCAAGACAGGAGAGGTCTGCTATACCACATGTGGGTTAGCTCCCTGGCCAGATCAAACTCAGGCCGAAGCCATGATAGCACTGAGACTTAACCCCTACACCACCAGGGATGCCCCTAAATTTTTTGGGTTTTATCACACTTTGTCAATGCTCAAGGCTTATTTATCTTTCCAATTTGGTATGTCCCCAAATATCAGAGAAAGGATCTATTTTTAAATAATATTTAAATTGATAATCAATATTCTAAAAAATTCCCTTTGCCAACCTGCTTCCCATGTGACCAAATAGAATTTTGGCAAATTTTGAATTAGGAAAGAACACTATAGGAAGGTCTTGTCAATTGTATACCAGTAAAGTAGTCATTGAATAAATTCTGTAAATTTTTTTGCCAACTGTCACATATATTACAAATTAATTAAGATATATTTATATTTAACAAATCTGTGTTGTTCTTAAAGAAAAGTATGAGCAAAAGCAGGTTTTGATGTCTTGTTCTGTGTTACGATTTTATGTGCCAGTAGCTGCCTTACTATTAAAGAAACTTTAAATAATTTTAAAGACTAGAACCACACATCTCTTAAGCTCAGTGTAAGTCATATGGCATATGGAAACCAAGCTTCCAAAACCTACTTTTAAAGGGGGCCAATTGGTCATCCTTCAGGTCCTAAGTGAGGGCATGCCACAGGCTCCAGGCCACAGAGGCAAAGACATGGACCCCATCCCAACTGCCTCTGCAAGCCCCAAGCACCACCAGACCCCTTCTCATGGACTTGAGAGGGTGGGATGGTACATAGAGAACCAGAAGCTCAGAAAGGTAGGTCACAATGCCAAGAATAGAAGTGCCTTTTATCTTGGGATATATTTGTTACTGATTTAACTTAAGGGGGAAGGAAAGGGACATATGGATAAGTCAGGTACCCATTGAAGAGAAGAATCACTGAATGGGAACAGGAAACTCACAGTCTCTGGAACTGCGAGTCAGAAATCAGGCACAGGATTGATCATGAACTTTGTTCTTTTGATAGTTACAGGCAGCTTACTCTGGGCAATCTTGCAAATTAAATACTATTCCATCCCGTCATCCTTGTGAGTATTAAGATTCCCTAGTTTGTTTTTCCCACTTCACCTTTCTCCATTTCCTCCCAAAATAGCTAATAAGAGTCGCCGTCCTCCTCATCAAAAGACCCTAAAATTTAGACTTGAAGCTGACTAGGTAAAGTTTATGCAGAGTTCTAAGGATCTCCTAAGTAATAGGAAAATAGTCACGTGTTGGATAACATTTATACCCAGCCCTCAACCAGAAAAAACAGAATTAGTTCTAGAAAGTGGAAACCCAGTTTGCAGCTAAGCAGGAGTAGAAGTTGGCTCTGGAACCCCTTCCGGGCAATGCCACCTTCTTCTTTGGGTGATTTGGTGCTAGGTGGGAGGAGGGTTTAGAGCACTTGGAGAGACCTGGGCATGGGTGCACTAAATTTTCTCTTTAATAGACTTTTCTGTGCCTACCCTGCACTATCTCAGGAGAAGAAGAAGCTGACACCCCAACGGGGATTTAGTGAAAATGATGATGATGATGATGACGATGACGACGACTCATCTGAAACAGACTCCGATGATGATGATGATGATGAAGAGCATGGCGCCCCTCTGGAAGGGTGAGGAAAGTCCCCAGACCAAAGGAGAAAATACCTGTTTCAAAATCCTGGACTGGTAGGACATCACTTAGAAGTGAAATTCCAGCATTTATTTGAATCTTGCCTATTTAGGATTTTCAGATGTCTCAGAAGCCCAACACTGCCTCATTGAGACCTGTGATTCACTTGTAGTATCTGAAACATTTATTGGTTCAGGGAAGTCACAAGGATTTGCTGAGTAAATCTAAAAGATGGTCTCTGCCTTCAAGGAGCTCCCATTCTGGAAAAGAGAAAATTTACATATATACCAAAGCATTTCTAGTTAACAGGAGAAACAGACGTGCACAGGAGCATTTCTGTTTTAGGCTCAGATCCTTTTTGGACAGGTCAAGAATAGGTGCTTAAGAAGTCCCACACTGAGGCAAAATGTTCCTGGATGATGCTTAAAAATCTCACCCTGTTCCAGCCCTGGTGCCATGGTCATTAGTGATGACTCATTCCTATAGGTTTTATTTAGTGAAAGTGGATTCTAAGGCCCATGAAATAAATGATGGTGAATCCAATCAGTAGAATTCTATCTAGCCATGAAAAAGTATGAGGCACTACTCAATGCTCAAAGAAAGGGGAAAAGAATTTTTTCTACATTCAAAGTTTTTTTTCAAATCATGTTTTGGGAAAAAAAGCAAACTGTTTGAAAATGAACAATGATGTAAAATATACATAAATAAATAAATATTTTTAAAAGATTTATTTATTTATGCGTACAAGAATGGGAGTAAAGGCCAGAGGTGTGGGCGGTGAGAGGATTCACCACAGATAGAGTGGGGAACAGAACAGACAGATGGACTGAAATACACTGCCGAGGGGAGCAGTGGGCAAGACAGGAGAAGTCTGCTGCGCCATGTGGGTTACTCCCTGTCCGGGGATTGAACTCGTGCTGCAGTGGCTGCGGATAGCTTCATAGGTTGCGTCTTAACCCCTTGTGCCACCAGGGAGGCCCATAAATAAATAAATTTTTTAAAAATCATGTTCTGGCTTTTCTGTTGCTTTGTTCTTCATTGTCCCAGATAGTGAGAGCTAATTATAATCAGTTTTAAAGCTCCCTTGTAAACCAGTTAGGTATGGGTGGGGCAGTAACTAGTTTCAGAGTCATATGTCCTGTGGTCAGGACTCAGCCCCATCTGCTCCTCCCTTCTCCCCGGCCATGCTGAATCATGTTTTCCTTTTCTAGGGCCTATGATCCTGCGGATTACGATCATTTGCCAGTTTCTGCTGAGATTAAGGAACTCTTCCAGTATATCAATAGGTGAGTACTAAGACTTCTGACCATAACCCCACCAGCCATATCTTTCCCTTTCCTACTTGTGGACTGAAACAGGGCTATTATCCATAGATTCTTTTAGCCTGAATAGTAAAATATTTCTTTGACTGTCTCCACTTTCCCTTGGCAATATCATCTAGGTACACACCTCAGTTGATTGACCTGGACCACAAACTGAAACCTTTCATTCCTGATTTTATCCCAGCTGTTGGGGATATTGATGCATTCTTAAAGGTACAGTCAGAGAATCCTAAAATCACCTCTTCAGGTGTTTCTTCTGACCCACTGTCATTCTAACAATTCCACGAATTTCTTTCAGTAGTCCCGACTACCTTGATATATGTTTTTTATTTCACTGGAGTTCATAACCTTGCTCTCTACTCCAAATTTTATTCATTTTATTAAGTAATAGTTGATAAGTGCATATATTAAAATTTGTCATATACTTGCCTCCTAAAATATTCACAACTTCAACTTTATATGTAATTAAGGTCCTATAGACAATGTCTTTTTTTTAGTATGTAAATGATATACAAGCATGCTTTTTAATATAATTGATAATTATGAACGAGAAGAGTTCTTCCTCTTCAGCTTATTGGGAACAATTGTGGCCTTTTTATGTACTTCCATTTTTTCTCTGCTTTCTTGCCATTCTTTTCACCAGGTCCCACGTCCTGATGGAAAACCTGACAACCTTGGCCTGTTGGTATTAGATGAACCTTCTACAAAACAGTCTGACCCTACTGTGCTCTCGCTCTGGTTAACAGAGAATTCCAAACAACACAACATCACAGTAAGATACTAGCCTAGTACAGGCCTCAACTAAAGAAGGCTGGGTGGAGGCCTTGCTAGTATTTGTACAGTTGACTCACTATCAAAAGGGATGGCTTAGTTTGAGATCAGCCTTATATTTTTAGCCTTATTTTTTAAATAAGTTTTAAATTGTACAATTCAGTGATTTTTTATTTATTTATTCTTAAAAAAATATTTATTTATTTTTAAAAGATTTATTTATTTATTTATACAAGCACTGGGTACAGTCAGAAGTGCCGGAGGGTGACAGAATTCACCAGAGCCAGAGAGGGGAACAGAACAGGTAGACTGACAAAATACACTGCTGAGGGGAGCAGCAGGAGTGGCAGGAGAGATCTGCACGCCATGCAGGACCCTCGCTGGTGGACGGGGATCGAACCGGTGCGGCAGAGGCTGCAGGCAGCTGTGCCACCAGGGGAGGCCCACAATTCAGTGATTTTTATTATGTTTCCAGAGTTGTCCAGCCATCACCACTATCTAATAGAAAAACTTTTTCAGGGCCTCCCTCATGGCACAAGGGGTTAAGTCTCACCACTATGAAGCTATCAGCAGCCACTGTAGCATGAGTTCAATCCCCAGCCAGGGAGCTGACTCACATAGCACAGCAGACCTCTCCTGTCTCACCCACTGCTCCCCTCGGCAGTGTATTTCAGTAGATCTGCCTGTTCTTCTCTCTACTTTGTCTCTGGTGAATCCTCTCATCCCTGCCCCTTACCTCTGGCCTACACCCCAGCTCTTGTATGCATAAATAAAAATAAATCTTGGTGGGCCTCCCTTGGTGGCGCAGGCGGTTGAGCTCAGTGCTGTGAAGCTGTCCGCAGCCTCTGCAGCGCCAGTTCGATCCTGGCCCGGCCGCATGGGTCCCACATGGTGTGGCAGACTTCTCCTGTCAACGCCCGCTGCTCCCCTCAGCAGTGTATTTCAGTCAGTCTGCCTGTTCTCTTCCCTGCTTTGTCTCTGGTGAATCCTCTCACCCTCCCGCGAATCTGGCCTGTACCCCGGTTCTTGTATAAATAAATAAATATTTAAAAATAAATAAATCTTGGGCTTCCCCTGGTGCTGCAGGCGGTTGAGCACAGCACTGTGAAGCTGTCCACAGCCTCAGCAGCACCGGTTTGATACTGGCCGGCCGGTCGGCTGGCGAGGGTCCCACATGGCATGGCAGAGCTCTCCTGTCACGACTACTGCTCCCCTCAGCAGTGTATTTTGTCAGTCTGCCTGTTCTGTTCCCCGTTCTGTCTCTGGTGAATCCTCTCACCCTCCCCCAAATCTGGCCTGTACCCCGGTTCTTGTATAAATAAATAAATCTTTTAAAAAAAATAAATCTTAAAAAAAAATTTTCATTATTCAAAAAACCCTCATTAGTTGTCACTTCATTCCCTTTACTCCCAAGCCCTGCTAACTATGTCATTCCTTTTTTCTTTTTTTAAACATTTATTTTTTAATTTTGCAAATAAGAACTGGGGTATAGGCCAGAGGTGCAGGGGATGAGAGGATTCACCAGAGATAGCATGGGGAGCAGAACAGGCAGATCTACTAAAATACACTGCTAAGGACCTCCCTGGTGGCACAAGTGGTTAAGACGCAACCTATGAAGCTTTCTGCAGCCACTGCAGCACGAGTTCAATCCCCGGCCAGGGAGTTACCCACACGGCGAGCAGATCTCTCCTGACTCACCCGCTGCTTCCCTCAGCAGTGTATTTCAGTAGATCTTCCTGTTCTGTTGCCCACTCTGTCACTGGTGAATCCTCTCACCCCTCCACACCTCTGGCCTGTACCCCAGTTCTTGTATGCATAAATAAATAAATCTTTAAAAAATAAAATAAAATACACTCCTAAGGGGAGCAGTGGGTGAGAGAGGAGAGGTCTGCTGCACCATGTGGGTCAGTTCCCTGGCAGGGGATCGAATTCAGCCCACTGAAGTGATAGCACTAAGATTTAACCAGTAGGCCACCAGGGAGGCTCTGTCATTCCTTTTTTTAATGACCAAATAATACTCCATGGAATGAACATATCACATTTTGCTTATTAATTCACCAAGTTTTTCCCCCTTTATTATTTATGTTTTAAATGTTCATGTACAAGTTTTTACATGCACATATATTGTTATTTCTCTTGGCTATATGTGTAGAAGGGGGATGCTGGTCCATATGATAACTGACACTTTAAGGAACTGCCAAACTGTTTTCCAACATAACTAAACCATTTTACAATCCCACCAGCTGTGAATGAGAGTTTAATTTCTCTCTTTATCCTCAACTTATATTGTCAGTCCTTATTCTTATCTGCATGCCAGTAGGTATGAAATTGTATCTCACTATGCTCATTTCTATCCTGTTGACCTGCCTCCATCCCATGGCTCCAAGAATTTTGATCCGGATGTCCTAAAATCTTCATTTGGCTGCTATCAGGCTTACCTTTTTATCATCTACCTTGTATATGAAATAGCAGCAATATGATCCCTGAAAAACAAGAGAGTTACTTCAGTGTCATCAGCCAGGCTTTCCCCTTATTTGTCTAGCAACATATGAAAGTAAAGAGCCTGGAAGATGTAGAAAAGAATCCCAAAGCCATTGACACGTGGATTGAGAGCATCTCTGAGTTACACCGTTCTAAGCCTCCAGCAACTGTGCACTATACGAGGTAAGAGATACCACATTCTCCACCCTGTACAAGCTCATGGTAACATTCATAACCATTGCTTCTGAGAACCCAAAGGTAGGGACATTTGATCACGCTGATGTCTTGAGGGCTCTAGCAGCTACCAGCTGAGATTGCAAACAAAAAATTGTGATTTATCTGGCATCATTACTTAATTGGCTCCTCCAAAACCAGTCTCTGAGTAAGTTTGGTTTGCCCAGTCTAGCTTCCCAAAATCCTATTGTACCAGATTGAGAACTTCCTTTTCTCCTAGAATATCCTGACCAGCAGTTTGCGGAGCATCAGCCCATATTTCTCAACATGTTTACCTCTGTACTTTAGGCCCATGCCTGATATTGACACACTGATGCAAGAATGGTCCCCAGAGTTTGAAGAGCTTTTGGGCAAGGTGAGTAGGGGACAGCAGGAGCTAATAAAGTATGATATTCACTCTTAAGTACCAGTGTTTTTCCTCTTCCTATATTGTTGTTAATTTTTAACTGAAGTATAATGTACAGTTAGATATTCACACATACCATATGCTAATTTTCACCACCTGAACACGTGTATAACCAGCACATCAGATCCAGAAAACAGAACATTACTAGTCTCCTGAAAGTCCTGATAGGCTTCCAGCTTTAAACATAACCACTATCCTGACTTTTTTTCTTACATCATTCTTCCTTTTTTTTAAGATTTATTTATTTATGCATACAAGAACTGGGGTACAGGCCAAAGGTGTGGGGAGGTGAGATGATTCACCAGAGACAGAGTGGGGAGCAGAACAGGCAGATTGACTGAAAATCACTGCTGAGGGGAGCAGTAGGCAAGTCAGGAGAGTCTGCTGCGCCATGTGGGTAGCTCCCTGGCCAGCCTGGGATCGAACTTGTGCTGCAGAGGCTGTGGATAACTTCATAGTGCGGTGCTTAACCCCTTGCACCACCAGGGAGACCCCATTCTTCCTTTTTGTACAATTGGTTTCTCCTCTCAGGTATAGTCTCCATAGTTTTCCTACCACCATAGCCCCCATAATCCACCACCACAGTGCTTTGTGCCCCTCCCTCCCCTGTTTTGACCCCTCTCCAAACCCTCCCCTGTCTATGGTCAGCTTCCAAGTTTTGTCTTTTTCTTGACCTTTTGTTTGGTTTCTCTATTATTTCACATACAAGTGAAACCATCTGTACTGTCCTGATTTCTAATAGCATAGATTAGGTATGTCTATTTTTGTATTTTACCTAGTTTTTTTTTTTTTTTTTTTAAAGATTTACTTATTTTTTTGTTTGTTTATTTATACAAACACTGGGAACAGTCAAGTGCGGGAGGGTGAGCGAATTCACCAGAGGGTGAGCGAATTCACCAGAGCCAGAGCGGGGAGCAGAGCAGGCAGAAGGACCGAAGTACACTGCTGAGGGGAGCAGTGGGCGGCAGGAGATGTCTGCGCGCCATGCGGGACCCTCCTCCGGTGGCCGGGGAGCAGCCGGGGATCGAACTGGCGCTGCAGAGGCCGCGGGCAGCTTCCCAACCCAGTGCTCAACCGCTGCGCCACCGGGGAGGCCCGTATTTTACCTAGTTCTAATCATACTCTTTTGTGTTTGATTTCATTCATATTGTCCATCCAATTGAAAATTCATATGTACTGTTTCATGTGGTGGTGCATTTGTTTGTTTGTCATTACTTTATAGCATTCTATTGTTTTGAATATATGATAATTTATCCTTTCTGTGATAGATATTTGGGTAGTTTCCAGTTTTTGGTTATTTCAAATAATGCTATTGAGTATTCTTAACACAAACCTTTCGGTGAAAACATGTACCTCCTATATTATTACTTTAGACTCCATTTCCTTCACAGGAGGTATTTATGCTATTCTACAAAGCATAGTTACCCTATACCAGGAATAATTTTAATAAGAAATTGGTAAGACTTTTATGAAAACTATTATAAGGGCCTGGTGGCACAAGGGGTTAAGCACAGCACTATGAAGCTATCCGCAGCCTCTGCAGCACCAGTTTGATCCCCAGCCAGGGAGCTGTCCACATGGCACAGCAGACCTCTCCTGTCTCGCCTGCTGCTCCCCTCAGCAGTGTATTTCAGTCAATCTGTCTGTTCTGTTCCCCACTCTGTCTCTGGTGAATCGAATCCTCTCACCCCCCACACCTCTGGGCTGTACCCCAGTTCTTGTATACATGCATAAATAAATCTTTAGGGAAAAAAAAAAAGAAAGTACAGCCTTTTGACTTTGGTCCATCCCATGCCCCTCCCAGGTAAGCCTGCCCACGGCAGAGATTGATTGCAGCCTGGCAGAGTACATTGACATGATCTGTGGTAAGCTCTTTCATCCCTTCCTTGTCCCTGACTCTGGATAAATATATTATGGGCATTTGAAAAGGCGTGTTTACTTTGGGATGATAGCATCTTGAGTCACAGCCATCACTTACAGTGAGTTGTGCAAAGATGGCATTTGGGGATGCTGGGTATTTAACCCCCAAAGTCATGGTTACACACCTAGGAGAAATGGCTGTCCTAAATAGAAATGCCAAAATTCCCAGGGTTTTGTTTCTGCTTATGGTTCTTCCTTTCAGCCATTCTGGACATCCCCATCTATAAGAGTCGGATTCAGTCCCTCCACTTGCTCTTTTCTCTCTACTCGGAATTCAAAAACTCACAGGTAAGACTAGCATCAGAGATTGACTTGAGCTGGAGTGAGGATCCCTGTGTCTCCACTATCCTGAGCCTGCTGTGCCTGTCCACGGCAGTGGAGGATGTCTCTGCCCAGAGTTAGTTACTTGTTACCTTTCCCTATAATTAGGAGAGCAGCAAAGCAGGCAGAGTGGGCCTTTCAAAGGAAGGAAATAGAAAATGTGGGTCTTAATAGGCTTGGTAAGGATCTCAGAGGAGACTCATTCTTACAGAACCCAGTACCTAATAAATAGAAGCAGGAAGAAGTAAAAAAAGGGTTTTATTTTTTAAGAAAGTGGAGCAAATTTCTAGCTATTTTTCAAAGATAACACCAACGAATTGTCAGGGAAGTAGGATTAGAGAGTAAAGGAAGGTAAGGAGGTTAGTTCTTGCCAAAAGTAGCAACTGGTGTATCCTAAATACCCCTTGTTCCCTCTCTTCCTTCACAGCATTTTAAAGCCTTAGCTGAAGGCAAGAAAGTATTTACTCCTCCATCCAATTCCACCTCCCAAGCTGGAGATGCAGAGACATTAACCTTCAGCTGAGACTCCTCCCTGGTCACATGGTCTCAAGGATAAGCTGGCTTCTCTACTCCAGCTGAAGATGGCCAGACGGTATCCTTGCCAGTGCCACAGTTTGACTCAGGGACATGCATGTCCTGCAAACCTCTCTACCAGAAAGCACTGCACATACTTAAACTGTTGCTACATGGCTCAGATTTCCTTCCCTAAGCAGTAATGTATCACCGCCACTGGGGATTTGGGTTAGAGGAATTAGAATTTTGAGGATCTCAGGACGCTCAAGATGGAAGGAAAGCTTAATAGATGATCTTGTTGATAACAGTAATGGAATTCTTTTTTCACTCGTAGATTTAGTTGATAAGATTTTACAAATAAAATATTCTTTCAAGTTATCCTGCTGTTGTATAATATAAAAGACAAAAGGCTGATTGAGCACAAGGTAGAGATAAGGAACTTGGCTTATTTAGTAATAGGCTTAAGTGGATAGCAGTTTAAGCAAACCAATGTTGTGACATCAATCAAACCCCCTTTTCTCTCAGAACTTAATTTTTCTAGGGTTCTCTCATCTGTCAGTGCTGACTCCCTTACAGGTTACCTGCCTGTCTAACTGCAGACCTGCCTGTTGTGGAGAAATGGGTAGGTCATTTAAGTGGAAAGTAAACAAGTAAACTGCCTATTTTGGGAGGGTAAAGCTTAGATTAGATGACTGAAGTACATTAAAAATTGATGTTTTTTCCCCCCAGAAAAAGAAAACTGTCATTAAGGAGCATTAGTAATGCTTGAAAATTCCATGATCCTTAGATCAAAAAGATTTCAGAAATATCCAAGAAGGAACTAGATCAAGGATGCTCCCCCAATGAAAATTGTCAGAAGAATTTTAGAAAAACTATACAGTGAATCCTTTATACCCACCACCTAAATTCTACAGATATTTTGCTAAATTTGCTTTATCACATAGCCATTTCTCTGTACTATCATTAATTCATCTTACTTTTTGATAAATTTCAAAATATGTTGCACTTAACCCCTAAACACTTCAGCATGCATGTAATTAGCTGGCATTTTATGTTTATTCATGGTCCTGTAGTCAGATGAAATTTATAGAGTGAAATGTACAAATTAGTTTGATCTTTTAACTAGTTTTATTGAAGTATAATTCATGCATCCTAAATTATATATATTGCAAATTATATAATTCAGTGTTTGTTTGTTTTAAAGATTATTTATGCACACAAGAGCTGGGGTACAGGCCAGAGGTTTGAGGGGTGAGAGGATTCACCAGAGACAGAGTGGGGAAAAGATTGATTGAAATACACTGCTGAGGGGAGCAGCGGGTAAGTCAGGAGAGGTCTGCTACGCCATGTGGGTTTCTCCCTGACCAGGGATCAAACTCGTGCTGTAGTGGCTGCAGATAGCTTCATAGGTTGCTTCTTAACCCCTTGCGCCACCAGGGAGGCCGTATAATTCAGTGGTTTTTGGTGCACAAAGTTGCTCACTGATCACTACTTATTCCATAACATTTTCATTACCTCAAAAAGAAACTCTATGAGCAGTCACTCCCCATTTGACAATCTCTACCTAAACCTAGAGTCTATAGCTTTGCCTATTGAGGGCATTTGCTTATCATCATATAAAGGGAGTCATACATATCTTGGGTTTAGCTTCTCTCAGGATATTTTCAAAGTTCAACCATGTTGTAATTTGATAGTCCAGCCCTTAGCAAACACTAAGGGAGAGTTGCCAGGAAGAACAGACTTTTCTACTACAGTAAGACCTTGATTGCACCTGAGGGGAGTGTAGGGCTTGTAGTCTGGCCAAAAGACCATTAAGGAAGGGACTCTAGGACCTCCCTAGGGGCACTGGACAAGACTCAACAGAAATGACAGCAAGGCACCCTGGCTCCTTAAAGTTCTGAAGTCTTGAAGGAGCCTACATGCAAAATCATAGAGGGGGCCTCCCCAGTGGCGCAGCGGTTGAGCGCTGGGTTGCGAAGCCTCCCGCGGCCTCTGCGGCGCTGGTTCGATCCCCGGCTGCTCCCCGGCCACCGGAGGAGGGTCCCACATGGCGCGCAGACCTCTCCTGCTGCCCACTGCTCCCCCCAGCAGTGTACTTCGGTCCTTCTGCCTGCTCTGCTCCCCGCTCTGGCTCTGGTGAATTCTCTCACCCTCCCGCGCTTCTGACTGTACCCAGTGCATGTACAAACAAACAAACAAATAAATAAAACATGCCTCTATAAAAAAAAAAAAAAAAAAAAAAACCAAAATCATAGAGGCTGGAACCAAGTCCTCTCTAGGAGGCTGGGGCAGCCGCAGCAGCTCCTATGGAGAAAAATATTCAAGACAGAAGTGAGGAGAGAACAGGGGCCAGAAAACTCAGAGCTGCACAATCCAAGCCCGTCTGTTATTTAAAAAAATATAGAATATAAATCAGTCTTCAAAAAACCACATCCTATTTCTGGTCTTTTGTCCGTCTCATGACCCCTCAGAAAAGTTTTTTTGGGGGCCTAGGATTTAAGTCTCAATGCTGTCATTGTGAGGCCCACTGCAAAGGCCTGAGTTTGATCCCCAGTCGGGGACCAAACCCATACATGGCGCAGCAGACCGCTCCTGTCTCTACCATTGCTCCCCTCAGCAGTGTATTTCAGTAATCCATCTGCTCTTCTCCCCACTCTGACTCAGGAGAATCCTCTCAGCCCCTGCACCTCTGGCCTAAACGCCGGTTCTTAGAAAGAATAAATAATTTTTGAGGGAAAAAAAGAATAAAAGGAGAAAACTTATTTATAGAAAAAAAAAGCTTTCTTTGAAAATCAGTCCAGTCTGAGCCTTCTGTACCCTGGTCAGGACAAAGGGGTTCAATGTTGCTTAGTCCTGAGAGAGGAAGAGTATGCCAAGCGATACAGACAAGTGAGGATCAGTATAGTTGTGAGCCCCACCTGGTACTCCGGAAACAGAAAATGCCAGCCCTGCCATTGGGAACTATGTCATGAAATATTAAAATAAGAGATCAGATGCAAATAGGGTAGAATGTTAAGATTTAACAGCATTGGTTGGTAGGTATACAGGTGTTTGCTCTATTTTCTCTGTGTCATTTAAAGATTTCATTTTAAAAACATAAAGGGGGCCTCCCCCGTGGCGCAGTGGTTGAGCGCTGGGTTGTGAAGCAGCCTGCAGCCTCTGCAGCGCCAGTTCGATCCCCGGCTGCTCTCCGGCCTCCGGAGGAGGGTCCCCCATGGCGCGCAGACCTCTCCTGCCGCCCGCTGCTCCCCTCAGCAGTGTACTTCGGTCCTTCTGCCTGCTCTGCTCCCCGCTCTGGCTCTGGTGAATTCTCTCACCCTCCCGCGCTTCTGACTATACCCAGTGCTTGCATAAATAAATAAATAAATCTTTTAAAAAAATTAAAAAATAAAAACATATAAAGGAAAAAATGGACATGTAACATTCACCCAGTTGAGTTTATTTGATTTACTATGTGCTTAGCACTGTCCTAGGCAGTAACATAACGTGAAGAAAAATTATAAAACAAGTTGTCAACAAGGGAAAAATATACTCTGCACTCTATTATTTCTAGTCATTTCCATGTTGCTTTTTTAAGTGTCTTAGGTTGTTTTGGGGTATATGGTCTCCCCCTTTCTCCACGTCCCCCTAAAGCTTCTGGCACTATTGGATTAAGTGCCACTATGAGCATCCCCTATAGAACAGAGGGGTGGGATAATTAGGGTTGGTATCAGCTGGGGTTCCAGGTAGGGAAACATATTGAAAAGGGAAACCATCAACCCTCAAGGCTCAGAGCCGTCACAGTGAATCACAGGAAGGCCAGACTTGGGGATGCCACAGAGGGCCCTGCGGCCCTCACTCACCCCCTCCCCAGGGGATGTGCTTAAAGTGCTAACATTGTAAGGAAAAGATGCATAGCTACATGCTGTCCTGGATGCCACCAGACTTCTCATCTCACTATTTGCCTCCCAACCTGTGCTAATATCAGGCATTGGCACCATTTAGGTGCCAAGCCAATGGGGAGTCTAGTGGCCTGGGAAAAAGTGGAATAAGTCCAGTATATAACCTATGATGCCCAGGAGGCCCTGGGGGCATAGAGGGCAGAGAGATATATAGCAAAATGGATAGTCTGTGCTTGGCCAATGCCCCTGGGCCAGGGGTTGGTTCCTGTGCAAAGGGCAGTTTGGTTCTCTACAGTTAGCAGGGTCCTTAATTTTCCCTGAGGGAACAAAGCTGCATAGCATGGGAAAGAAATCCAAGACGTACAGGGCCCTCCCTGTCCCCAGTCAGGCATGTCCCTATGCCTGCTGTATAAGGTGCTTAGAGTACCAAACGGTGTGGGGCAAGAGCAAGCCCACGCCACCAGGGCCATGCCACCCTCAGCTGCTGGGTGGCCACCAAACACACCTGGCCAAAGTGCTCTATCTGGTCACAGCCTTGCATGCAAGCCCCCAACCTGAGTTAAAATGAGGGGCGTAGGTGCAGTTGGCAGTTTGCCAAGGATCCTTGTGCCCCTGAGGATCAGATCCCAGTGAAATGCATCATAGAGAGCAGAGAGCACCCTAGCCAGGAGGGCAAGCAGAAGTGGCAGTGGCAATGTGGCCAGGCAGAGGATGCCCTGTAGAAGGAGGAGGGGGCCAAGAAGACACCTTCCATCTTGCCCTCGGCTCAGAGCCAGATCTCATCACTGCTCACACTGGACACTCGATAGATGTAGCCCAGCATGGGGAGACGGATGAAACCTGTGGGATCAAAGACACCCAGGAGTCTCAGGAGCCCTCATTCCTTGGAAGTTGGGAGGCCCCTCATGTCCCTTGGGGGACTCAGAAGCCTGAGCACAGGACTGGGGAGCAAAGGAGGGTGACAGCTCTTTGCCAGTACCTCGGCTGGTGAGGAGGCCGCCGGGCTCTGGGTCCAGAAGCTCTGGCCGGCTGTTGTTGCGAGCCATCTGCTGGTCTGCTGGTTTCCCTGCTGGGTGGCAAAAGGGTGGTGTCCAGGGATGGAGAGTGAACCTGAGGGGCCTATCCCCTCTGAAGTACCAGGATCTCACTTTTTCTCTGAAGCACCTCTACAGATAAAGCAGGGTCAAACAGAAAGTCCCGGATGTACCTCTGAAATCTGGAGTGAGGTCATTGAGCTGCAGGTTGGACGGGAGGGACATGTTCTCCCGTGGCAGGCGCACATTGTTGAGTTTCAGGTTGTTGGAGTCACTACAGGGCGACAAAGCCTGGGATACGCCTGGCTCCATCCAGCAGGTACAGATTCCTGCTTGGGCCCTTCCAAGACTACTGGAAGCCCCAAGTTTCCACCTGTCCCCATGCTGCACCTTGGTTCAGCCCCATCCACTGAGCCCCAGGAAGAGTTACCTAGAGATCAGAGATGGACGCCGGGAGGGGCCTGGGGAGAAAGAAACCACACTGCTATTCTCAATGTGCCCACCCATTCTGGGCTCTGCCCCCTGCCCTTTCAGAGCCAGAACCCTCAGGTAAGGGGGCTCTCAAATGCCTGGCCCTGGCTCTGGGGCCAGACTGGGTTCCTAGTGCCTCTGCTACCTGAGAGGCATGTAGTCCCAGACCTGGAAGACCTGTTCTTCCACTTGTCAGAGATACACTCCGGGGCATTGCTCCCCCTGACTTCACCTCTCCCCCCACCCCTATAGCCTTCTGTCCCCTAAGACTTTGGCCCTACCTTTGGTTTTGTTCTTCTCTTTTCTGCAGACCAGGCAGGCCACCAAGGTGCTGAACCCCACCAGGGTGCCTAGGGCGAGCCCTCCAGCCACAACGATGCCCAAGAGTGGCACTTCCACCCGAGTGGCCAGGAGTCCTGCAGGTTGTCCTCCGGTTAGGTTCCAAGTGGCAGTGCCCCCAACTCTATATACCACAAGCATTTTTCTGCCGTTGCTCATTGTGGCAGGGGACACCTCGTTCACAAGACTCACTCAAAGGGCAACAAGCCCTCCCATTTCTGTACAGTGATTCTTGCCCACCCTTATCTTTGTTTGGGCCAGTTTTTGGAGGTGCTCACCTGGGGCTGGAAGCGAGGCACTGGTGACACCCACGTCATTGGTGGCCACCACAGAGAGGTTGTGTGCCAGGCTGCGGAGCTGCAGCTGCACGGTGTGGTTGGTAAGCCAGGGGTAGTTCTGGGCATCCAACACCAGGAAGTCGGAGGCGTTGACAGTCACTGGCCCATCCTGGTCAATCCAGGTGACATTGGCAGGCGGGTTGGCACGCACAAGGGCAAAAAGGATAACCAGGAGGCCTGGGCCCTGAGATTCCTGGTACTTGGCACCAACCTGGGCAATCTCCGGCTTAACTGTTACAAAGCAGAGGCCAATACGCTCTCACCACAGCCCCTCAGATTCCTTAGTTTTTCTTTCCAAACCCAGAAGTGAGCCAGGGGCCCAGACCTCCTCTGAGAGGGGACGCTGGGAAACAGGCTGGCTGGGTTGGCCAGAGAGGCAGAATTTCATAGTTATTAAAAGTACAAACACTTCCCTGTTCATTTATAATTTTCTTGAACAAAGGGGCTGTGATGCACTTTTGTATCACAATAGCAACAAGTCATCCACTGACTACTCTGGAAATATATTTGAAATAAAGAATTAATGATTGATAGACAAAAAAAAGTATAAATACCTGAGGCAAAATACCTGGATTTGAATCTGGCTCTGCTACTTACCAGCGGTATGAGTAACTTCCCTTCAAGGAGATTGCTTAAACCATGCCTCAGTGTTCTCATTTGTAAAAAGAGGTTAATAATAGTCATGACCTCATAAGATTACTGTAAGGATAAAGTGAGTTCATGTTGGCAAAGTGCTTAAGTGTTTGTTAAATATCCAGTAGGTCCACCTGCCCAATGACTGCTTGGAGCCCCTGTGCAGGGAACCTCTCTACTGCCCACCGCAGGGTACTCACATTGGACATTGAGGATGACAGAGGCATTGGCTGATCGGCCACTACTGGAGTCCTGCATGGAGCAGTTGAGCTCATGCTGGGCCCGCTGGGCAGTGACAGTGAAGGTGCTGGTTCCTCCAGAGAAGGCATCTCCACCCACACTCAGCAATCTTGAGGTGCTGGCCTCCTGCAGTTGTCCATCCAGGTACCAGGCCAGTCGGGGGGTACCAGGCCCCCCTGCTACCCGGCAGGTGAAGGCGTGGCGTTCATTTTCCCGAAGTGCACGCTCAGCCCAGGTCTGACCATCAATTTGTGGAGCCAACTCCCCCCAACCTGGAACACAGCAGGGGGTTCTGGGGAGGTCTTGGGGAGGGTCAGTACTGTTCTGTGACCAGGATGAGGTCCATTTACAAGGGCAGCTGGCCAATGACAGGCGACCTGGGTTCTCTAAGGACTGGCTGGACCTTGGGCAGGTGAGCAAGGGAAACCCAGTTCTGGTGCCTGGGATCTAAAATGGGTATTCCGATGTAGGGAAGGAGGGGAGAGAAGGTGAGGACAGCACAAAGGAGGGGAGAGAAGGTTGGCCTAGGGATGAACGGGCATACCTGAGCTCAGAAGGGTTAGCAGGAGCAGCAGTGTGTGCGGGAGGGTAGCTGGGCCTGGAGGTACAGCCATGGTTGCCCCAGGCTTGGGGCCTAGGCTGGAAGAGAAGGGTGTTAGCCAGGTGAGAACAAGCAAGCCTAGTAATTTTTCCAGGGGGTTACTCTCCAGAAACAAAAGGAACGGTGCACAGCACCACAAATGTAAGCTGACCAATGGCGGCAAGACGTAAACAGCCAACCCCAAAGACCAAATCCACTCAGCACGGACCTGCACCCCGCGGGCACAAACCTAAACAAGGACTCCAGGGGGCAAACTGGCTCGCGCCCCGAACCCAGCGCCAGCAGCGGCGCACGCCGCAGCGAGCACGGTCACACGACGCGGACTCACACCTGCAGATAGATGCTGGGGTGCCGACGCCCTCTCCCCCAAGGGCCCGTTCTTTTCCCGACCCTGTCTGTCTCCTGCCCCTGCCCCTCCCCGTCTCTCCCCCAACGCCCTTCAGCTGGCTCTCGGCGGGCGGGGCCCAGAGGCCGGGGTCGCGAGGCGCCCCCGTCCCCAACCCCGCCTCCCGGGGCTCACCTGGCTCCCTCGGCGAGCGCAGCGCGAGCAGCTGCTCAGGCCTGACGAGCCCCGCAGTCCGCTCGGGGGCGGGGCCGCGCCAGGCGGGGCCAATCAGCGCCCGACTCGCGGCGCGCGCGGGCTCCGCCCCGGGACAGGTGGGCGGCCCCGGGGCGCGCGGGGGCCGGGGGCGCGCGGGGGGCCGGGGCGCGCGGGGGGCCGGGGCGCGCGGGGGCCGGGCGCGCGCGGGGGGCGGGGGCGCGCGCGGGGGCGCCTGCTTGGCCTTCCCCCGCCGGGACGGCGCTGCACGCAGACACGGGCGCGAGTCGGTGGAAGCCGAGCAGCTTTATTGGTTCGGGGCCGCCCTCCCTCGCCCACGCCCGCTCAGCGCCCGTTGCGGGGCTGCGCAGCTGCCCCATCATGTCGGCCAGCATGCGGTTGCACAGCGCGGCGTACGGGTTGAGCAGCACCAACTGGCGCCGCGCGAAGGGGCTGCCCAGCCGCGCCGCCTGCTCGAAGTCCCTGCGGGCGTCGTCGTCCCGGCCTTGCAGCCGCGCCAAGAGCCCGCGCTGCACGAAGCCCTGGCGGGCCACGCGGCCCCGGCCGCCGCTCAGCGCCAGCGCGCGCTCCAGGTCCTCCAGGGCGCCTGCGGGGCGAGGGCGGGCGGGTCAGGGCCGCGGCCAGCAGGGGCCGGCGCGGGACGGGCTTAGAGTGTGGCTCTGGGGCTGGGTCGTGTTGTTATAGGGCAGCCCCGATACAAAACGGGGTGCCTGACATCATTTCCCCCTAACAGTATCCGTCCCCCTGCACCTGACCCTCGAGGTAGGCTTTGCTCCCATTACTTGGACAAGACTGGAGGGATTGACACAGCTTGCCGCGGGCTGCACGCCCGGTTATTGGCAGTGCTGCTGCTAACGTCCAGGCCTCGTCTTGTCTCGTTTGTCCAGCACTCCAAAACATGGAGATGGCTGGGAGGATTTTGAATGGTCACTGTGTTTGCGGCATAGATTATGAAATAGCTGCCATGTTCCAACTGAGTCGCAGAGTCAAAAAAAAAGTATAATGAATGGGCAGGTGTTTCTTATAAGAACAATAAAGTTCATTTCTCTTTTGAAAGCAGCTCTCTCCTGTTTTCTCTACGGACTGCTTGGTTTGTAGCCACAATCTTCGTTATTTTGTCTGTAATTTTCATTGAAGGAGGTCTGGAAGCAGGGCTGACCTGCACCATTTTAGTTTTTATCCTTATAAAATAACTGGGTTGTGCATCAGAACTCTGACTTCAACCTCAGGCAGCCATCTGCTGAAGGGTCTTACCAGCTGCATTTCTTCTGGGCTCTCAGTTCACTTAGGTTCTCTAGTCTCTACAGAGCCTATTGGCACACTTGGGTGCTCCAGCATCATCATAGAGCAAGGCTTAGCTTCCCTGTCCTGCTTCTGTGTGTTTGATCCTCAGAACCCAGCAGCGCCTATGCTCCAGCAATTGAGAAGGGCTCTGATCTATCTCCATGTGCCTTGGTTTCCCCCAGATCAGCTGGTCGCAGGTCTGAAGGAATCCAAAGCCTCACCTGGTGAAATGCTGTCTGCACTTTTGGTCAGCAGGCTGTCCCCAGTGGCCTTCATTCTCTCAAAGCCAAGTGGCAGACAGGCCTAGAAAAGGGGTATTTGGGGCTCCCCACTGCTCCCAGAAGGTAGCCCAAACTCCCCAGCCTGGCTCCAGTGTACCACCACCATCACTACTGACAGTCTGGTGGTCCCCTACTTGGCTTCTGTAGTTTACACCTTTGCATCAGCCTGTTCTCCAGTCCCATGGGCGGCCCTCCCTGTCCCATTGTTCCCTTTCCAGCCAGAGCAGCCTGATTATAGCACATCTGACTCAGTCACTCCCAGTTAAAACCCTTTAGTGATTCCCCATGTCATCATGACAAAGTCTAAATCTCAGTCTCACATTCCCATCTTCACCAGGGGTGCAGGCCAGAGGGGTGCAAGAGGATTCACCAGAGACAGAGTGGGAAACAGAACAGGCAGATCGACTGAAATACACTGCTGAGGGGAGCAGCACACGAGACAGGAGAGGTCTGCTGCGCCATGTGGGTCACCTCCCTGACTGGGGGTCGAACTCATGCAGCAGTGGTTATGAATAGCTTCATTGTGCTGCAACTTAACCCCTGCACCACCAGGGATGCCCCTTTCTCTATATTTCTTTATGCCTTCTGAATCACCACAGTCTGCTTTCTCCCACTCCCTCACCTCCTTCTACCTAACACCTACTTACCTTTGAAGATCCACTCTTCAGCAACAGAACTCATGCTGAACCTTCTCAAACTTGCTGTGCTGGTACAAGAATTGTGTGTCCTACCCTCTAGACCATGGTCTTCTTGAAAAGCAGTATTACGTGGGGATTAAGACTTTGGAGCCCTCCCACCTCATTCTAATCCCAGCTCTGTCACTTCTTAGCCATCATAGCAGCAAATTACTTGTTTCATTAGTGAAATGGAGATAACAGTACATGCCCTGTAGAGAAGTTGTCAGGATTAAATGAGCTGCTATACTTAACATATGGAGTGCTCAGTGCCTGGCACATAGAAATTGCTCTAAGTAATGTATTTTTTATTCTTTGTTTCTCAGTACCTACCCCACTGCTACAGTAGTAGGCTCTCATTAAATGGTTATTAAATAAATAAATCAAATGCTGTCTCTTCCAACTTTCAATAGTCCCAAGAATTACCAGGACCCATAATATTATCGCCTGGAGTAAGAACACAGGTTCTAGAGGGGTTTGTCCCAGCTCCATCACCAATTTATCCCTGGTCTGTGCATCCAGGGCCCCTGGATATCTGCTCTCACCTGCCACGTCTCCCTGGAGTCTCCGGGCCTGGGCTCGGTTGTTGTAGGCTGAGGCCCGCTCAGGCAGCAGGTTGATGGCTTGGCCAAACCTCTCCAGGGCTGTACTGAATTCCCCAGCCTCTGCTGCCCTCACCCCCTGCAGCTCCAAGGCCTTGGACTGCTCCAGTAGTACTTGAGGGAATACTCCATCTGTGCCAGGGAGGAAGCCAGGAAGGGACAGATGTACCAATGGGAGTAAGAAGCAAAAGTCACCGCAGGCTTTAGAAATCTGGGACCTGAGCCAGGGCTGATATGGCTGGGGTGTAGGTGACAGCAGGAGTCAGATGCAATGCTTGGGGCAGGGGTAGCTGAAGTCACACTGAACTGAAGTCACAGCTGAATTTAGTGCTGAACTGGCACTAAATTTCAAAGGGACCTGGGACAGGGCCGTTGCTTGCCTTCCCATTGCCAAGAAAATGAAACAGATTCCTTAGCCTGTAGCTGACTTGCTCAAGCTTACATGGCTCATAAGTTACACAGCTTGGATTTTAACCCCAGGCCTTGACTCCTTAACTTGTCCCCATTTTGTCTACACCGCCTCCAAGCTGAAGGCCTGCACAGCACACCTAGGTCGTGGAAATCATTCTCAAGGTATACCTCAGCTTTTCACTCTGAATTTCAATAAGGCTTAGGTTTCATTCCTTTAGAAACAAAGGACATCAAACTCCTGATGGGGACATTAGGCCAAGGGAAAAGCCAGCAAGTGCACTCACACTAGGAAGAATTAGCTCAGCCTGGGCTTGCAAAGGAGCATAGTACTGAGTAGTTACTTAGGTTGGGGCTTCCACATGTCTGTCCTCCACCTTGTGTAGGATGATAAACTCTTTTTTTTTTTTTTAGGATAAACTCTTATGTGAGTTTAACATCCCTGCCCCACAACAGAGTTAAGCCTGGGTCATGGGGTGCATTAAGCTGTGAGGTTAAGTTCAGAGTTTGGAGGAATAAAGGACGGACAAACCCTACCTTTCCTCTTAGAATGACTTGCCAACCTCCATCAGCGCACTCTCAGCCAGCCTCTCTGATTCCAATCTCAGTCACCATCCAGGGGTGGGGGAACAAAAGGCCTTGCAAAACCTCCTCCTGTAGTCACCCCAGGGTAGCCAGGAGACCAGCCAATGTGGAGAGCTACCCTCCAGAGGCAAACACTCACCTTCATCTAGTTCTTTCTCAGCTTCCTCTCCCAGGTCTACACCAATGACATCTCCAAACGGGGTGTCAGGGTTGAAGATGGCCTGCAACACAGCCTGATCATTTGGTGTCCCCATGGTGTGCAACTACAACATCTGAAATGATGACTCAGGAGGAAGAGGGGGGGGGGCTTTGTCTGGGCAGCCAGTTGATCTAGAGGGAGGTTCTGTTGAGGACCATGCCCCATGAGGCGTGTCTTCTATTCTTTGGCCAGAGTATAAATTCAACCCTCTTTGGCCCATGGTTAGTGCTGGCTTAGTAGAATATTTACAAATATTTCTCAACCACCTCCCCACCCCCACCCAGTACTAGGAGAAACAATAAATAAACTCAATTTTAGTTTTAAGTTAAAGTGGAGTAATCAGGGTGCTATCCAGTTTCTTCCTGAAATGCTTTCATTTTCTTTTATTTATAGCTAGGGAGAAATCCTTAAGCTACTGCTCGACTGCCCATGGATAAAGAAGGGGAGGAAATGGAGGCGATAAAGATTATTCATCTTTTTGATTTTTTCATATCCAAAATGAACACACCATTGGTGAGAAGAAAACAGTTCAAAGAACCAATGTGGAGTGAGGCCTGAAGGTAGGCAATGGAGAATGATTTAGTGATTCCACCTCAAAAGACAGTGGAGTGTAATATTTTTTTATTGAGGTAACATTGGTTTATAATACTGCATGATTTAGGAGCACAGGTCTACACCTCTTCAGATGTTATCACACCACACCTACCACCCAAACACTGATAATACCCCCCCATAGTCCACTGGGCCTCCAGTACCCCTCGCTCCTCCACCTGTTCTCCCCTCCCTAGCCTCAGTTCTGGATTTGGATTTCTGTGGTTTGCTTTGGCTTAGTTTTGTCTGTGCCTTTATTCTCCAGGTGAGTGAAATCATCCTGTATTTGTCTTTTGTAAAGGGTACTTTGTGGTCTGGTCATAGGCCATACCCCTCCCCCAGCTAAAGTCAAAAGAAAGCTCGCCCACTTGCAGCAATAAACTTGACATGTTTATTAATTAAACTATCACTTAAATAAAAAAAAGTGCATAGAAAATAAACATGTTTAAAAACTCCTTTTTTTTTTTTACAACTATGTACACTTTTTACTTTTACATTCAGTCTTTCGTAGAGAGCTTTCAGCATTATTATTTTTTGAGCTATTAAAGTATTTTCCTTCATCCCTGTCACAGGGAGTTAACACTGATGGACTTTAGACACATTTTTTCCTTTTTTTTTTTTTTCACTTTTTCTCTAACCAGAAACTTGGAAGAACATAAGGAAAAATTAAAAACAAACCAAAAGATCTGTTATACATGATAAAGTTGTCAAGAAATGTCTTATTTCTAGAAAAGAAGCTTGTCATCTGTTGAGCTTTTGAAACAATTATTCAACTACCTGTATTTACTAAAGAGACTGTTAAAAGTTCAATAAAAGAAACACCACAAGTCTATTTTCTTGGTTGAAAGACAGAACTAGAGTACCTCGGAACAAGATACCAGGAAAGCACAGAACACAATTTTCCCCTAAATGCAGGTGGTAACCCCAACATTCATAACCAAAAATAGAGAAACAAGGAATACAGGTACTGACTGGCAACATTCACGGGCAGAAAAAAAATCCAGGTGACACCATTTCTGCGTTTCTCTGTGACCCTAGGGATGGACTGTCTTGCTGTCCCAGCATGGTTTGGAAGTCCCCCCCATGTCAGGTCAGAGGAGCGCCAGGCGACATTTTCCTGCCACTACTAGCAACTGTAACACAATCCTTATCTATAGTGTTAAGAGAATTAAAAGCCATGGACTGATCTAGGCTTTGTTACATGGTGCATTACTATATTAGTTCCTATATATATCATATTTATATTTATATGAAAACCAAAACAAAAAAGTTGCAAGTTTTCAGAGTGTGAGACTTGACTGGTATTCATGATTCGGCACAAAACCATCTGCTCAATAACCTTGTATTGCTTTAAAATGAAGAAAATGAAACATAAAATTACACCCAGCCCTTTGCAATGACCCGCTTTTCCTTTAAAAAAACAAAAACAAACAAACAAAAAAAACCAAAAACAAAAAACCCAAACTTGATTTCTATTAAAAAAAAAAAAAATCCCAAACTTAAAAGTTAACATCTGACAAGGTTTTGACCTTTAGTATTTTCAGATATTTGATTGAACGTCAGTCCTTTAGAAAGATACATTCATTAAAAATTTTTTTTTTTTTTGTGTTTTTTTTTTTTTTTTTTCTTTCTTTTTTTTTTTTAAATCAAGGGAGCTGCATGGTGCTCACTGCATTGGCCGGGAGTAGGGGTGGGGGTTGACACAGGCAAGCGGGGTGGTGGACTGGATCCCGGCAAAGGAGTCTGGTTGAAAACATATATAGCTGCCAGGGCTTCCCCCTTGATTCTTGTTATTGGTGTAAAAACAGGAGGGGCTGTGCTGGAGGTGGTGGACAGTAACAGAGGGAGCCAAGGGACCAAGTTCCGGCCAAAGGGTCAGCGCCATGCAGCTATTCTGGTTACACAGTTGTCACTGTGAAATGCAGCCACAACAGGTTCTAGCAGCAAAAGCTATAAGTGAGCTGGCTTGCTCACTTGAGAACTGACCGGATTTGCAGCTGTTACTCCTTAGGGATTTGGGATGCCCCCTGGGGGATTCTTGGGAATGACCCACCACAGTTCCTCAGTATGCACTTTTGTGCAACAATTCCCTTGGTCACTTTCAAAACAAACTCAGGTGTTTTGGAGATAGCTATGCCTTTTTGTGTTTTTTAAACCTTTCCCTCTTGTAGGGAAAATCTTAGCTTATTCCCCAAGTTGCTGGCAGGTATGCTGAATTTTGGCAATGGACTCAAGGCTGAGCTGTAAGAGGAATTTCTCATTTCTGTGGTTGATAATCAGGGAGTTTGAAGGCAAGGCAAACCATCTGCAGCTGGCAAGAGAAGGAATGATCTGGGTTCCTCTCCTGGCCTCAGGGTTTGGGACTGGTAGAAAGAGAATGAGGAGGGGGCTCACAGTACAGCATGGCCTAGCAGGGCAATAACTAGGTCTGTTTAGCTGTTTTCCCCCACCCCGACTGGCCTTTGGGTCTTTCTCAAGGTGAATTCATGACCCATCAGTGCATTAATCATTTCAGTAATAAATGCAGCTTAAGGTTTTTTTCTTAAAAAAAAAAAAAAATTACAAAAAAACCTCACACAGTGCAATAAAGGAAACCAGATACTAGTGGGACCCCTAGGGCCACTGTATCTTGTTCATGGGCAAGAGGAGGGAGGAAGGTGAGGTCTGGGTAGAGTGCTTTTCCCCAGTCCCCTGCTGGCACTTCTCCACGATGACAAGGAAGTCTCTGCCATCCTGGCCACAGTGCTGGGCTCCCTGCAGAACAGTGAAAACAGTGACAATGTTCCAGCAAAGCCACCAAGACAAAGTTCTTAAGGTCACGGAAGAACAGGGAGCCCAGGATGGAAGGCACAGCAGAGCCATGAGTCCTGGGGCAGAGAGCGCTGGGCGGAGTCGTATTGCTTTGCTAGACCTCCATAAGAATGGGCTTCTTGTGGCGAGAAAAGGGTGCCCCGCCCTCTACTGGACTACACTGCTCTGAAACCTTGTGGCCGACAGGCAGAGAGAAATCTGCTTTATCGTGAGTGGTCAGACTGTGCTTCAGTTTCAACGGGCTGCCCCGAAAGAGGGCACATGGGGATCCATGGGTTCTTTGCAAGTATGAGGACTTGGTGGGCAGAGGAAAAGGGAACGAGGTGAACTATGAGGCAGATGGTGATGGAAAATGTCAGGGTGCCATTCAACTTGGTTGCTGACTCTGAAGTAGGAAAGATGAGGGAAATGTAGCAGATTCCCACCTCTCACCACTGAGCTCGTGCCAGAAGGAGTGACAGTGTGGGAAAGAAGAGGAGAAACTGCTGTGTCAAGATACTACTACAGCCTTTTGAGAAGCTTCAATATGGGAAGGAGATGGGTGGCCCAATGGAGTTGGGTGACCTTCCTTTTCCATTTATTGTTAAAGAGCAAACCCAGAAGACGTTTATGTCAACAGGGCACAAACAAGCTACACATTAAACAACAAAAGTACACCTTCCAGGGGGAAGTTGGGCAGGAAAAACCAGACTTTGTGTGTACAGCTGAATATTTTCTCTAACTTCATCCTATGAAAATAAAAAGTTATTAAAAACCGATTTTCTTTTAAATTAGGATAATACCGCGGTTTAAAAAATAGCCTTATCATAAGTGCTTCTCCCTATGAAGTGCTTCTCATAGAAAAATATACAAAATATATTTACATTTATAAAACCTTAAATAGTAAACTGTAAACAGAACAGAGTAAAATCCAATGACTTAATTTAACAGGTTCAGGACACTGTCTTGGGGGGAAGTAAAAGAACAAACATTTGATGCTGTTTTGACCACATCCTAAGGAGTAATCAGGGCAGTAGTGTCATTTAACTCACTTTATCCATGGATTTTGCGCAGGTGGAAGAGTTCCCTCAATGTATGGTGGTCTAGTCCCCAAGTTTTGGGCCTTGAAATCTGATTAGTGTTCTGCCTTCAACTGGACACTGACCATTTAAAGTTAAGTCTTCCTATGCCTTAACAAGGGGAAAATAAAGTTACCATGTCCTAGGAAGGGGGCCCAGGGGTCATTCTAGTTGTGATACTCTGGATGTTGCATGATTCAAATCCTATTTAAATAATTTTTTTCCTCTTCTAAAAAATCATGCTACATAAATTTCCTTAAAACTCTCAGTGAAGCTTTATGAAAACTTCTCCAATTTCTGTCTGGTTATGGCCAATGGCTCCTGCCCACTTCCCCACTGGGAGTACTTCCAGGCTGAGGGAACATTTTGTAGGCACATACCATGCCCAACAGGGAGTGTTCTTGAGCAGGGAGTTCCTCTCCCCTACCACCCAGAAAGAATGGAAAGCGGTATGATGAACAGGGGAAATGAAGACAGCGAAGAGAAGGAATGAGGGAAGCCGCTCCTATTGTCAAGAAAGGTAATTGGCTGAGATAAGGCTCATGGGGACAACACTCCCACTTTAAGCCCACAGGCTCAATGTTTGGTAATTAATTGGCACAACCCCAAGACAGCCTTTTGACACCAAAGGTGCTAAGAATCCTGTCTCCCAACCAGAAGTGAACTCTCAAGTGGGAGCATAGTAAGGAAAACTACCAGACCTTCTCTGTTTGTTCAACAGATGGTTACAGGCTGGGTCCGACTAGCAAACTATCAGGTA